GCTCTCTAAATGTGAATCTTAAACCTGGAAATCTCAAGATTTCCAAGGATGGGGCCATGGCAGTTTACTTGGAATCATAGCACTATCATTCTGTTGCTTGGAATAGGTCCAAGATGCAATGGGACTGCAGATCCAAGCATTCCCAACTGTTAGCTGGGGAAACTGGGAGTTGCAGTTGAAAAACATTTGAGGAGGGGGTCTCCCAATTTTCAATCTGCGGTGCAGTCTTGATTATGTTAACATTGATTCTGTTTGCAAAGCCAGATTGATCAAAAAGCACAGCAATCAGAACGATTGCTGTGCTTTTTGATCAATCTAGCTTTGCAAACATGTAATCATTAATAGAATTGTCAAAAACTATTGTTCTCGTATCTCACTGCTGTCTGGCTATAGGGAGCACACAAAGCATCTCCGTTGGCTTCCAATAAGTTTCTGGTCTCAATTCAAAGTGCAGGTCATTACCTATAAAGCTCTAAATGATTCGGGACCTGCCTGTCTTCGTGACCGCATCCCCCTCTATTTTTTTTTGTTGTGTCAGGAGCGACGAGAAACTGCAAGTCGTTTCTGGTGTGAGAGAATTGGCCATCTGCAAGGACGTTGCCCAGGGAACGCCTGGATGATTTGATTTTTTWAAAAATCATCCTTGTGGGAGGCTTCTCTCATGTCCTCGCATGAGGAGCTGGAGCTGATAGAGGGAGCTCATCCGCCTCTCCCCTRATTCGAACCTGCGACCTGTCGGTCTTCAGTCCTGCCGGCACAGGGGTTTAACCCACTGTGCCACTGGGGGCTCCGATCCCTCTCCATGAAACTGCATGAGTGTGAAGATCTGCCGGGGAGGCCCTCGTCTCAGTCCCGCCACCWCCACAAGCACGGTTGGTGGGGACGAGGGAGAAAGAGGGCCTTTTATTGGTGCCCCCCCACCCCGGCTTTGGAACGCCCTTCCCAGGGAGAATAGGCAAGCCCCCACACTGTCCTCCTTCCATAGAGAGCAGAAGACTTTGGTGTTTAAACAATCCTTTGAGAATGTCTAGCCCAGTGTTTCTCAACTTGGGGGTTGGGACCTCTGGGGGGGGGGTCATGAGGGGATGTCAGGGGTCATCRAAGACTATAAGAAAACACAGTATTTTCTGTTGGTCATGGGGTTTCTGTGTGGGAAGTTTGGCCCAATTSTATYGTTGGTGGCATTCAGAATGCTCTTTCATTGTAGGTAAACTATAAATCCCAGCAATGACAACTCCCAAATGTCAAGGTCTATTTTCTGCAAACCCCACCAGTGTTGACATATGAGCATATTGAGTATTTGTACCAAGTTGGGTCCAGATCAATCATTGCTTGAGTCCACAGTGCTGTCTGGATGTAGGTGAACTACAACTCCCAAACTCAAAGTTAATGCCCACCAAACCCTTCCAGTATTTTGTGCTGATCATCGGAGTTCTGTGTGTCAAGTTTGGTTGAGTTCAGAATGCTTTTAGATTGTAGGTGAACTATAAATCCCAGCAACTACAAGTCCCAAATGACAAAATCAACCCCCCCCCCCCAACCCCACCAATATTCAAATTTGAGCGTATCGGGTATTTGTGCCAAATTTGGTCCAGTGAATGGAAATACCTCCTGCATATGAGATATTTACATGACAATTCATAACAGTAGCAAAATTACAGTTATGAAGTAGCAACAAACATAATTTTATGATGCGGGGGGGGGGGGGGGGGGGGGGGCAGTTACCACAACATGAGGAACTGTCTTAAGGGATCGCGGCATTAGGAAGGTCTAGCCCCAATGGTCCCCAAACAATGACACAGCAGTGCACTTTCATCCCATGCCCTTGTTCCTTAGCTACATTTTGCACTATCCCATTCCCTTGTTCTTGTTTACAGTCGTGTCATGTCTTACAATAGTTATCACCATAGGTTATTGTGCGTTGTTCTGAGTTTTAGATGGTTGTTTTATATGCTATATGTTTTACTTTATTGTATTTGTACTGTGTGTCTATTTTATGTTCTGTTTTAGGCACTTTGTTCTATATGTAAGCTGCCCCAAGTCACTTTGGGGAGATGGAGGCGGGGTACAAGAATAAAGTTATTATTATTATTATTATTATTATTATTATTATTATTATTATTATTATTTTGTCTACACCTATGATTATACATGAATGGATCGTGTCATTTAGAGATGTGGAAACCCTACCCTAAAAGAAAAACACTTGAAAAATATGGGGAAATACCAACTTTTCCCTCAATAACTTTTTTTCCCAAAACTTTGCTCAAATATTTTCCTGGTTGGAAAAGTGAAGGTCCAGAAGAAGAAAAAATGGGAAATATATTTTTCCCTCATTTTTTCTTCCACCTTTTCTCTCTCCGCCTTGAAAAATTGGAAGGAAATACTTGTAAGACTGGGTTGTTGTAGGTTTTTCCGGGCTATATGGCCATGTTCTAGAAGCATTTTCTCCTGATGTTTCGCCTGCATCTATGGCAAGCATCCTCAGAGGTAGTGAGACCTCACTACCTCTGAGGATGCTTGCCATAGATGCAGGTGAAACGTCAGGAGAAAATGCCTCTAGAACATGGCCATATAGCCCGGAAAAACCTACAACAACCCAGTGATTCCCGCCATGAAAGCCTTCAACAATGCACTTGTAAGACTGTCACACCAGATTATTTCAGTTCCTAGTTTTGTTTGCCTTTTCTCACTTCTTTTTTTGGGAGGGAAACAATTATGTCTGTTTGATGATATGAAAGCAAAATACTTCCCCTCCCCTTCCCCATTTTATGCATGTTTATGATTTTTTCCAAATATTTTTACTGCTTTTTTCTTTATTTGCAAAACCAAAGAGGTTCATTCCAGGTCATATGTTTCCCACGGTTCAAGAACCTGTGACTGCATTCATAGCACAAAATACAATTTTACGATATATTTGGTTTGGTATTACTGTTTAAACTGCACTTTTAATATGCCAGTTGTGATCATTTTATGGCAAGTGATATTATACATAGTACATCTTATTTTTCTAAAGTAACAAAGTGAAATGTACGAATACCATATGTTTTCCAATTCTTCTCTACTCGCAACAGATTAAAATGCTTTCCTCCTTCCCCTGGGGCTTCAAAATAACCCAGAATTTTTACATTTCTAGTGTCCTTTCGTGCATATGATGGAAGTGGACTCACCCACATCATGTTCATCTTTCTGATAGTCCAAAAGTCCTTTTAGTGGAGGCTGTGTCAGTTTAACATGACTGTTGCTCTGGAAGTGAAATTTATTTATTTACCACATTTGTACCTATCCTGCCCTTCTCAACTCAAAGGGGACTCGGGCAGCTTTACAATAGGCAACAATTTGATGCCTTATCAAACAACAAATAATAAAATAAACAGACACATTAAAAACATATTTTTTAAAAAACATATAAACATTAAAAACCACACAATCTGCAGCTGTAGTCAAGGCCATTCCGATCATGATTGTGCATATTCCCTCTTTTCTTATTGCCCTGCATTTCTACCCAAAAGCTTGGGCCCAGAGCCATGTCTCCATTTTTTTTCTAAAGGGCAGGAGAGAGGGGACTGACCTGACTCCACTGGGGAGGGAATTCCATAGCTGAGGGGCCACCAATGAGAAGGCCCTGTCCCTTGCCTTCACCAACCATGCCCCCGGTGGTGCAGTGGGTTAAACCCCTGTGCTGGCAGGACTGAAGACCAACAGGTTGCAGGTTTGAATCCGGGGAGAGGTGGATGAGCTCCCTCTATCAGCTCCAGCTCCTCATGTGGGGACATGAGAGAAGCGTCTCACAAGAATGATAAAACATCAAATCATCCGGCATCCCCTGGGCAACGTCCTTGCAGACGGCCAATTCTCTCATACCAGAAGCGACTTGCAGTTTCTCAGGTCGATCCTGACATGACCAAAAAAACAAAAACAAAACAACCATGCCTGCAAAGGTGGTTGGACAAAGAGCAGGGCCTCCCCAGATGACCCCCAGAGGTGAGAAAGGCAATATATAAATACTGTAAATAAATAAATAATCTCTGATATGGTTCATAGGAGGAGATACGTTCGGATAGATAAGCTGGGCCAGAACCATTTAGGGCTTCATAGGCTAAAGCCAACACTTTGAATTGTGCTTGGTAGCAGACGGACAGCCAGTGGAGCTGGTGTAACACAGGGTTTGTATGCTCCCTGTACACCTCTCCGTTGAGCAACCTGACTGCTGTCCGTTGGACTACTTGAAGTTTCCGAACAGTCTTCAAAGGCAGCCCCACATAGAGCATGTTGCAGTAGTTTATGTGTGATGTAACAAGAGCAGGGACCACTATGTCCAAGTCTGACTTTTCAAGGTACGGGCACAACTGGTGCATAAGTTTTTATGTGCAAAGGCTCCCCTGGCCATCACCGAGACTTGGGGTTCCAGGCTCAGTGATGAGTCCAGGATCACTCCCAAGCTATGAACCCGTGACTTCAAGGGGAGTGTAAGCCCACCCAGCACAGGCTGTAACCCTATGCCCTGTTTGGCTTTTCGACTGACCAGGAGTACCTCTGTCTTGTCTGGATTCAATTTCAATTTGTTCACCCTCATCCAGACCATCACAGCTGCCAAGCACCGGTTCAGGACCTGAACAGCCTCCTTAGCAGCAGGTGGAAAGGAGTGATAGAGTTTGCCACAATCTGTAAATACAGGGATGCATTTGCAGTTTGATCCCACTTGACATGATTCAATGTTATGAAATCCTGAGAGTTGTAGTTTGGTGAGGCATCAGTACTATTTGGCTGAGAAGGCTAAAGACCTTGCAAAACCACAACTATCACAATCCTATAGCATTGAACCATGGCAATTAAAGTAGTATCAAGGCTGTATTCGTTCCACAGTGTAGATGTGCCCCATGCTAAGCATGCAGTATTGTGGTACTGAATGTGTAGGTTATCTCCCTTTCCATGCACGATTTTATATTCCATGCCTTTTCTGAAAGTGTATCATAACCGTTTGCCTTTTTGTTTTTCAGCAAATGGTGTTAAAAAATGGCTCAGAAGTTTTCGAAATGTGGGAAGAATCTCCACCACCGGTCTATATGCAGTTCTACTTTTTTAACTTGACCAACCCTTTAGAAGTGCTTCAGGGGGAAAAGCCATTAGTGCTGGAAGTTGGACCATATACTTACAGGTATTTTTGTTTGCTTCCTATTCTGTGGCTGATACAGCCTTTGAGGCGATGTTGTTGTTTATTTGTTCAGTCGCTTCCGACTCTTCGTGACCTCATGGACCAGCCCACACCAGAGCTCCCTGTTGGCCGTGGCCACCCCCCCAGCTCCTTCAAGGTCAAGCCAGTCACTTCAAGGATACCATCCATCCATCTTGCCCTTGGTCGGCCCCTCTTCCTTTTTCCTTCCATTTTCCCCAGCATCATTGTCTTCTCTAAGCTTTCCTGTCTCTTCATTATTTGAGGCGATAGCCATTGGAATCCCCAAAGGTGTCGCCTGAGGGCTGAGAAAAACGGTATATAAATAAAGTAAGTAAGTAAGTAAATAAATAAATAAATAAATAAAGGTGGTTACTGAGATGTTTCCAGACACAACACTAACTTTTTGTTTACTCAAACAAGGAAGACAAGAGCTAATGAGTAAGAAACTGACGAGATTCATATAGTAACAACATTCTTGGCCTCATGAGTGTAAAAAAAGGATTGATTGAGCAGTGAGCCATCCAGATCCCCAGGTTCTGAATCCATGATTTCCCTAGACCATGGATCACAGAATCATAGAATCATAGAGTTGGAAGAGACCTCATGGGCCATCCAGTCCAACCCCCTGCCAAGAAGCATGAATATTGCATTCAAATCACCCTGACAGATGGCCATCCAGCCTCTGTTTAAAAGCTTCCAAAGAAGGAGCCTCCACCACACTCCGGGGCAGAGAGTTCCACTGCTGAACAGCTCTCACAGTCAGGAAGTTCTTCCTCATGTTCAGATGGAATCTCCTTTCTTGTAGTTTGAAGCCATTGTTTTGTGTCCTAGTCTCCAGGGAAGCAGAAAACAAGCTTGCTCCCTCCTCCCTGTGGCTTCCTCTCACATATTTATACATGGCTATCATATCTCCTCTCAGCCTTCTCTTCTTCAGGCTAAACATGCCCAGCTCTTTAAGCCGCTCCTCATAGGGCTTGTTCTCCAGACCCTTGATCATTTTAGTCGCCCTCCTCTGGACACATTCCAGTTTGTCAATATCTCTCTTCAATTGTGGTGCCCAGAATTGGACACAATATTCCAGGTGTGGGCTAACCAAGGCAGAATAGAGGGGTAGCAATACTTCCCTAGATCTAGACACTGTGCTCCTATTGATGCAGGCCAAAATCCCATTGGCTATTTTGCCGCCACATGACATTGTTGGCTCATGTTTAACTTGCTGTCCATGAGGACTCCAAGATCTTTTTCACACGTACTGCTCTCGAGCCAGGCATGTCCCCCATTCTGTATCTTTGCATTTCGTTTTTCCTGCCAAAGTGGAGTATCTTGCATTTGTCCCTGTTGAACTTCATTTTGTTAGTTTTGGCCCATCTCTCTAATCTGTCAAGATCGTTTTGAATCCTGCTCCTGTTCTCTGGAGTATTGGCTATCATCACACCTCATATTAGTAAATGGCAGTGACATGAGCATGGTCATGCTCTTCTTCACTACCTTTTGATAATATGGAGCATGATCATCCACTTTTTTTGTATTAACGTCAGATCCCATACCCGAACCTCCACAGAAATGTGTGGTGAAATCTCAAAGAGCTGGAGATATTTGGAGCTATGTTATTTGTGATCAGAGAGCAACAGAGCTTGGACGACATCCAATTTTTCGAATTATAAAAATCATATCCATCAGTGGCTATGCTGGCTGGGGATTGGGGGACCTGTGATCCCTTCTATATGAACATTGAGAACTATGTGACTTAACCCAGAAACTTGACAAGCACCTGTTTTCTGCCTTTTGGGTCAGTAAGTTCTTTGTTCAGTTGTTCAGAGATGGGGCAGATGTGTTGTGGTATTTTGTTAAAGAATTCAAACACAGTGTTTTCGAAGGCTTTCATGGCTGGAATCACTGGGTTGATATTAGTTTTCCTTGACAGGTGCTTGGCTGCTGTGTCGGACTGGATGAGAGCTAGCAAATTGAAATTGAATCCAGACAAGACAGAGGTCCTACTGGTCAGTCGTAAGGCCGAACAGGGCATAGGGTTACAGCCTGTGTTAGATGGGGTTACACTCCCCCTGAAGACGCAGGTTCGCAGCTTGGGAGTGATCCTGGACTCATCGCTGAGCCTGGAACCCCAGGTCTCGGCGGTGGCCGGGAGAGCTTTTGCACAATTAAAACTTGTGCGCCAGCTGCGCCCGTACCTTGGGAAGTCTGATCTGGCCACAGTGGTCCACGCTCTTGTTACATCAGCAACTCTACGCAACACACGCTACGTGGTTGCCTTTGAAGACTGCTCGGAAACTTCAACTGTCCAACGGGCAGCGGCCAGATTACTCACCAGAGCGTCATACAGGGAGCATACCACCCCCCTGCTCTGTGAGCTCCACTGGCTGCCGATCCAGTTCCGAGCACAATTCAAAGTGCTGGTTTTGACCTACAAAACACTATATGGTTCCGGCCCAGCGTATCTGTCCGAACGGATCTTCCTCTACGTCCCACCTCGGAGTCTAAGATCTTCTGGGGAGGCCCTGCTCTCGACCCCGCTACTATCACAAGTGAGGTTGGCAGGGATGAGGAGCAGGGCCTTCTTGGTGGTGGCCCCTCACCTGTGGAACTCACTCCCGGGAGAAATTAGATCAGCGACCTCCCTTTTGGCGTTCAGGAAAAAACTGAAGACCTGGATATGGGACCAAGCTTTTGGACATTCTGGCAGCTAAGGGAAGATCTGACGATAAACATGGGCGAATGGAATGGAATGGATATACGGAACTCTGAACACTGAGCATGAGATTGTTTTGCTATTTTATTATGTACTAATGTTTTTAACTTGTTAACTGTTTAAATCGTTTTTAGGTATTGTTTGTTTATTGATTCAGGCATCGAATTGTGCCGTTGTTTGTAAGCCGCCCTGAGTCCCCCCTCGGGGGTGAGAAGGGCGGGGTATAAGTAATTGAAATAAATAAATAAATAAAATAGTTTTCCTGGCTGTATGGCCATGTTCCAGAAGCATTCTCTCCTGACATTTCACCCACATCTATGGCAGGCACCCTCAGAGGTTGTGAGGATGCCTGCCATAGGATGTGGGCAAAATGTCAGGAGAGAATGCTTCTGGAACATGGCCATACAATCAGGAAAACTAACAGCAACACAATTCAGACACTGTTTGAGGCTGTCTTTTTCTCTCTTCTGGCACTTCCTGGCACCATTATAGTCCTAGGACTGATTCCATAGAATTATACTTTTGGGGGATTTCAGAGTCAGGGGAAAGGCTGCAAAAGTAGTATAGTTATCTTGACTACTTCCAGAATCCCCCAACCAGCTGGCCCCTGGTCATGTTGACTGGAAGTATTGGGATATGTAGTGTGGCATGGCATAGTGGTTTGAACATTGGGCTATGACTCTGGAGATAATGTTTGAATTTCTTCTCAATCCTGGAAACCTACTAGGTGACCTTGGGTAGGTCACGTCCTCTCAGCCTCAGAGGAAGGCAAAGGCAAATACCTCTCTGCACAAATCTTGCCAAGAAAAGCCTATAATAGGCTCACCTTAGGGTGAGCATAAGCCAGAGATGACCGGAAAGCACACAATGACAACAGAGCACAGAGAAGTAACTAATCTAAGCACAGGGGCTATTTGACAAACTTGTGTAGGTCACCTTCCACTCACTGCTCTATATATTAAAGATTACAACAAGTTAGCTAATATATCCTTTCGCAAAGGGTTAACACTTCTGTCAGGATTATTTCTGTAAGTGCTCATGAAGTCCTTTTAAAAAACTAAATGTTCATTTCCCTTTTTCTGCAGGGAGACCCGACCCCGAGTCGCAGTCCACATTTTAGACAATGACACAGAGGTCTCTTCTCTCAACCCAAAGACTTATTTCCTTGAACGGGAGATGTCTGTGGGAGATCCAGAAGTCGATCTGATCAGGACCGTGAATGTGCCTGCAGTGGTAAGTAAATCTTGAATAAGGTGCTGGTCTGGGGCCCCAGGTGGCGCAGTGGGTTAAACCGCTGAGCTGCTGAACTTGCTGACCAAAAGGTAGGTGGTTCAAATCCGGGAAGCGGGGTGAGCTCCTATTGTTAGCCCCAGCTTCTGACAACCTGACAGTCCAAAAACATGCAAAAACAAGCCCTATGAGGAGAGGCTTAAGGAGCTGGGCATGTTTAGCCTGAAGAAGAGAAGGCTGAGAGGAGATATGATAGCCATGTATAAATATGTGAGAGGAAGCCACAGGGAGGAGGGAGCAAGCTTGTTTTCTGCTTCCTTGGAGACTAGGACATGGAACAATGGCTTCAAACTACAAGAAGGAGATTCCATCTGAACATGAGGAAGAACTTCCTGACTGTGAGAGCCATTCAGCAGCGGAACTCTCTGCCCCGGAGTGTGGTGGAGGCTCCTTCTTTGGAAGCTTTTAAACAGAGGCTGGATGGCCATCTGTCAGGGGTGATTTGAATGCAATATTCCTGCTTCTTGGCAGGGGGTTGGACTGGATGGCCCATGAGGTCTCTTCCAACTCTTTGATTCTATGATTCTATGAAATGTGAGTAGATCAATAAGTATTGCTTCTGCAGGTATGGTGCCCCATGCAGTCATGCTGGCCACATAGCCTTGGAGGCGTCTGTGGACAACACCAGCTTTTTGGCTTAGAAATGGAGATGAGCACCACTCCCCAGAGTCAGACATGACTAGACTTAATGTCAAGGGAAAAACTTTATTTTACTGGTCTCTTATCTTAGAAGGTGGGCTTTCATCCTGTGGCCTTAGGGCAGTCATTGTCATGCAGCCTCAATCTGCTTATGTGGCTCCCATGACCTGTTGCTCTTGGAGGCATTCAGTGTGGGACACACAAATGCCCAAAGTTGCCAGACTTTTGCTACCACTACTGCTTAATTTCCCAAGACCACCACTCTGGTGCTCAGGAAGCTAAAGCGAGTAGGACTTTTTTGCAGGAAGCATGATGCTGCACACCAGTCAACCCTCATATATACCAAGGGTGGCCAACTGTAGATTATGGAGATGCAGTCACTTTCCAGGAGACCTAGGACAAGATACCACTCTCCAAAAAACTGTCTGACTCTAAACACCCTCTAGAAAACAAGGGGGCATATTCTGAGTCCTCAAGTGAGCATTTTGAACCAAAAAAAAGTTATGAAAAATATCGAAAATTTTCATTTTGGTACCTGCAGGGGTTCCTTACATGCTGGAAATGCCCCCATCAAGGGAATTTTTGCACATTTTGAAGCATATATGTTTTGGGGGGAAAAGGTATAACATATAACAGAGTGACATTATCCTTGTGCACCTTACTCACTGGATTCCATTTGATATGTTCATATTGTATGTTTTGTGTTAATATGTATTTTCTGGCTGCTGTTTCAGGTTGCGATGAACCTAGCTACATCAACTCCCTTGCATTTACCTACAGAGATTTTGCTCCTCCTGTATGAAGAGGAATTGTTCACAATACACACTGTACATGAGCTGTTGTGGGGTTACACGGACAAACTTCTCAATGCTTTACACAAATTCCGCCCCACTATTGATGCAGATTTTGGCTTTTTTAAAAAGGTGAGTTGCCTAATTTCAGAGGTTGCAACTGGGTCCTTCCCTTTTCTTTCTTTCAGGGACATTGAAAACATTCTCCTTCCATCTGAATAAAAGTGTGAAAAACATTTCATTCTTCCATTCTAACCAGTGCATTTTGCTTTGCACCCTTTAAGATCCTAGTCCTAATATAGATGGCTCTAAGTTAAATCTGTCAAAATAGTGAAATACCTAAAAATTAATCACCAGAAGCAAGAGATACCTGTACAGATCTGGTCCATTTAATTTGTCATTGTTAACTTTTGACTGACAGCAGTTTTATAAAGTTTAGAGAGGTGTCTTTCCTAAACATAATGGGATATTTTGGAGATTGAAGTTGGGACCTTCTGCATACAAGGCAGGTCTTCTTCCCCTAAACCAGGCATGGGCAAACTTTCTAACTTGGGGTCCGCATGCTATCACTCCCTGCTGAAAGGACTGGCTTCCCGGAGATGGAATGAAGGAAGGGAAGGATGATAGGGAAGAAGGGAAGGAGAAAGAGGGAGGTAAGGAAGAGGGAGGAAGGTAAGGAGGAAAGAAAGAGAGAAGGAAGGAAAGACAAAAGGGAAGGATGAAAAGTTGGAAGGGAAGCATGGAAGGAAGAAAGGGAAAGAGGAAGGAAAAAGAAAGGGAGGGAGGAAGAGAAGGATGGAAYGGAGGGAGGGAAGGAAAAGAAAGGAGAAAAGGTTGGAAGGGAAGGGGGAGAAAGGGAGAGAGGTAAGGAAGGGAGGGAGAAAGGAAAAGAGGAAGGAAACAGGGAAGGAAGGAAGGAAGGACAGAAGGGGAAAGGGGGGAGAAAGAGAGAGAGATATAAGGAAGGGAGGGAGGAAAAAGAAGGAAGGYGGGACAAAGAGGGAGAAAGGGAAAGAGGAAGGAAAAGGAAGGAAGAAGGGTAGGACAAAAGGGAGGGAGAAAGAGAGGGAGAGATGAGAGAGGAAAGAGAAGGAAGGAAAGACAAAAGGGAAGGAAGGAAGGAAGGAYGGAGYYAGAAAGAAAGAAAGAAAGAAAGAAAGAAAGAAAGGGAAAGAGGAAGAAAYSAGAAYGAAGGAAGYAAYCAGAAGGAAGGAAAGGAAGGAAGGAAGGAAGGAAGGAAGGAAGGAAGGAAGGAAGGAAGGAAGGAAYGACTAAAGGGTGGAAGGGAAGGAGGGAGGGAGAAAAAGAGAGGTTAGGAAYGGAAGGGAGGGAAGGAGAAAGGGAATAATAGGATAGTTTGTGAGAGGGGGGCTTGAGAAAAAAGCCCAAGGGGCCACATCCGGCCCCCAGGCCTGGATTTGCCCATACCTGCCCTAAACTATGGCTTTCCTTCTTTCTAGCAAATCTTCCACTGCCACACAACTGTGTAAAGCATGAGTAAGGCACTTTAGTTTAACCACTTTTTAGGAACCAAACAAACATATCAAGAAAATGAAAGTCTTCTCTTTGTCTCTTTCTCTGGATTTGTTTCTAGATGAATGGATCGGATGATGGTGAATACATCATGCTAAGTGGAAAGAAGAACTATCTTGACTTCACAAGAATTATCAAATGGAGAGGAAAAGAGTAATGTTCTTTTCTATCATTTTTTTGGCTCAGATTTAATTGCATTGCATATACAGCATGCTCCCCCATACCCAACTCATTACCAGGTTTCACATGTGAGACTGCTGATAATAGTGACCCTTATTATTTGAATGGGTTGAAAGGACTGAGAAATAGGTATAAACCAGTGTTTCTCAACCTTCCTAATGCCACGACCCCTTAATACACTTCCTCATGTCGTGCTGACACCCAACCATAACATTATTTTCGTCGCTACTCCATAACTGTAATTTTGCTACTGTTATGAATCGTAATGTAAATATCTGATATGCAGGATGTACTCTCATTCACTGGACCAAATTTGGCACAAATACCCTATATGCCCACATTTAATACTAGTGGGGAAAATGGGCCTTGACTATTGGGAGTTGTAGTTGCTGGGATTTATAGTTCACCTACAATCAAAGAGCATTCTGAACTCCAGCAGCGATGGAATTGAACCAATCAGGGCATGCAGAACTCCCATGACCAACAGAAAATACTGGAAGGGTTTGGTGGGCATTGACCTTGAGTTTTGGAGTTGTAGTTCACCTACAACTAGAGAGCACTGTGGACTCAAACAATGATAGATTTAGACCAGTGGTTCTCAACCTGGGGTCCCCAGATGTTTTTGGCCTTCAACTCCCAGAAATCCTAACAGCTGGTAAACTGGCTGGGATTTCTGGGAGTTGTAGGCCAAAAACATCTGGGGACCCCAGGTTGAGAACCACTGATCTAGACCAAACTTGGCTTGGGTACTCAACATGCCCAAATGTGAACACTGGTGGAGTTTAGGGAAATAGACCTTGCATTTGGGAGTTGTAGTTGCTGGGATTTATAGTTCACCTACAATCAAAGAGCATTCTGAACCCCACCAATGATAGAATTGGGCCAAACATCCCACACAGAACCCCCAGATCAACAGAAAATACTGTGTTTTCTCGTGGTCTTTGGCGACCCCTCTGACACCCTCCTCGTGACCCCCACAAGGGTCCCGACCACCAGGTTGAGAAACACTGGTATAAACTGTACGGGAGGTCCTAAGTGGATAAGTGAAACAGTGGATAACTGAAACCATGATATTGGTTCTGTGGATACTGGTGTTGTTTATTTATTTCTCGTGTCAGGGCAGCCAGTCAGTTATATTACATTTCTAACAGAACAAAGCAAACAAACAGAGAAAATACAAAATGTGTGAGTTTGGTAGTTGGTTAAATGTCCTTTGACCAGTATCTGGCCACTTGGAGTGCTTCTGGTGTTGCTGCAAGAAGGTCCTCCATTGTGCATGTGGCAGGCCTCAGGTTGCATTGCAGCAGGTGCTCAGCGGTTTGCTCCTCTCCGCACTCGCATGTCAAGGATTCCACTTTGTAGCCCCATTTCTTCAGGTTGGCTCTGCATCTCGTGGTGCCAGAGCGCAGTCTGTTCAGCGCCTTCCAAGTCGCCCAGTCCTCTGTGTGCCCAGGGGGGAGTCTCTCATTGGGTATCAGCCATTGGTTGAGGTTCTGGGTTTGAGCCTGCCAATTTTGGACTCTCGCTTGCTGAGGTGTTCCAGCGAGTGTCTCTGTAGATCTTAGAAAACTATGTCTGGATTACAACTGGTGTTGTAATGTGCTATTATTTGCATTCTGGAGGAAAATCCTTCAAAAACATACAAATCAACCTGAGCAGATATTTGTTTTCTTAATGTTTTTAGCTGGGGTTGATAGATGTAGGGGGAATAGCAGCATAAGAAAGAAAGAATACATCTCACCTCCCCAAATGAAGTTTTAAAAATTGTTTCGAAATGGCTGAGAGAAAAATAGAATGGCAAACTATGTCTCAAGCATCACATTTTGCATTGTTCATCTATGAGTTGGATATAATCTGAACTCAACTTAAACTCATGATGGGACATGAAAAAGGAAATGATCCTTTGAGGATATCGGCCATAATTTATTTCATATCATCCTTGCCTCTTGCAATACATTTGTTTTCTATTTATTTCAAACTTCCTCATCCTCTCCCATTCTTCTTATCCTACAGCACACTAAGCTGGTGGACGTCACCGGATAGTAATATGATAAATGGAACGGATGGCTCCACTTTTCATCCGTTGATAGGCACAGATGAAAAAATCTATGTCTTTTCCTCAGATTTGTGCAGGTAAGAAGGGTGACTCTTGAGACATTATTGTTTTCTGAATTTATACCCTGCCTTTCTCCTGGCATCAGCCCCAAGACAGTTTGCAACATCGATTCAACAAAGCATGGGGAATTAATGAATGAAATCATTTAAAAATAGCGTACAATAATTTACAATTCATTTCTTTCTTGGCAAAATATTTTCCAAGGAAGTTTGCAGTTGCCTTCTGTGACTTGCCCAAGGCCAACCAGTGGCATTTTATAGCTGTGTGGGATTCAAAGCCTGGTCTCCCAGAATCCTTATTTATTTATTTATTTATTTCGCGCATTTCTACCCCGCCCTTCTCAATCCCCGAGGGGGGACTCAGGGCGGCTTACAAAAGGCACAATTCAATGCCAACACAACAATAAGATAAAAACATATATCAACAGCAGCTATAAAACAATTAAAACAGTCAATTATACATCACAATCAATAAAACCAATCTAATGCTCAACGTTCGCCAGCTCAGAATCTGTAAATTCATTCCACATTGTCAAATCCTATCAATTCTAGTCGTCATTGTCCTTTGTCTATCTGCCAGATTACCCAAAGGCCTGGTCCCATATCCATGTTTTTAGTTTCCTTCTAAAAGAGAGGAGGGATGTCGATGACCTAATTTCCCCGGGAAGTGAATTCCACAGGCGAGGGGCCACCTCTGAGAAGGCCCTGCTCCTCGGCCCCACCAATCCCACTTGTGATAGAGGTGGTGCCGAGAGCAGGGCCTCCTCAGAAGATCTTGAACTCCGAGGCAGGACGTAGAAGGAGATGCATTCGGACAGATACGCTGGGCTGGAACCGTATAGGGTTTTGTAGGTCAAAACCAGCACTTTGAATTCAGCATTCAAACCACTACATGGATCCATCTGAACATGAGGAAGAACTTCCTGACTGTGAGAGCCGTTCAGCAGTGGAACTCTCTGCCCCGGAGTGTGGTGGAGGCTCCTTCTTTGGAAGCTTTTAAACAGAGGCTGGATGGCCATCTGTCAGGGGTGATTTGAATGCAATATTCCTGCTTCTTGGCAGGGGGTTGGACTGGATGGCCCATGAGGTCTCTTCCAACTCTTTGATTCTATGATTCTATGATCAGCTTTAGTAAACCAGTTACCACATATTTAAATAGCATTTCTGATTTAAAATGCACTCTAATTAAAAGTGATATGGAAGCCTTTTAAGAAATGAGAAGAATAAGAGTACAGTATTTTGCACTTCATTAAAAAGCTCATTTTTACAGCCAACACGCTTGGCAGGGACGAGGGACAGGGCCTTCTCAGTGGTGGCTCCCTGCCTGTGGAATTCGCTCCCAACAAAATTAGGTCATCTACATCCCTCCTTTCCTTCAGAAAGAAGTTGAAAACATGGTTGTGGGACCAGGCTTTCAGGTAGCACGCTAACAATGACAATGGACAATCTTCTGATGGAGTCTCTGGCCACAGAATTTGGCTTAGGTAAGGCCACCAGGCTGTAATATTTTAAAACAGATTTTAATTAGATTTATGTAATGTTTTTATCTGTATGTAATTATTGGATTTTATTATGTATTTTATTATGTGTATATGGGGGCATTGAATCGTTGCCGGCTGTAAGCCGCCCAGAGACACCCCCCCCGGGGGGGTTGAGAAGGGTGGGGTACAAAGATTTGAAATAAATAAACAAACAAACAAACAGGCAAACACCTATTTAGGTTAAAAGTGTGTTTCCCTTTTCCTTTTCCAGTAAACACAGCCTTAACTGGGGGAGGATATGGTGAGCCTCATAAGCCACTTCCAGCTAGAACTTAGAGGTGTTATACCACACTTCCAAAAAGTAGTTTTGGTTGGTCACTACCAGGACACCGTTGTGCTTCCCATTGTAGCACCAGTAGCTTTCCGTGTGCTATTTCAATCCACTCCACGCAGTGTAATAACACTATGTAACAACATTTTTGTTTCTGTGTTACAAATGTTATTCCCTACTTGACTGAAAGGTTGGCAGTTCAAATCTGAGGGCAGGGTGAGCTCCCACTTTTAGCCCCAGCTCCTGCCAACCTAGCAGTTCGAAAACATGCAAATGTGAGTAGATCAGTAAGTACCACTTTTGCAGGAGGGTAAGGGCGCTCCATGCTGTCATGCTGGCCACATTATCTTGGAGGTGTCTACGGACAACGCCGGCTCTTCGGTCTAGAAACGGAGATGAGCACCACCTCTCAGTTGGACACAACTAGATTTAATGTCAGGGGAAACCTTTACTTTTTACCCTAATTGGTTCTATCATTAAAATATGGGGAAAGTTTATAAAACTGCAAAAACTTTATTTTTGCAAGACATTCTGCAGCATATTTTGCTATAGTTTTTTCAATGAATTGAGTCTCAACCAATTCAACCTAGTTTGTGGCAGCCACAAAAATGAAGTTTCTGGAGTATAACAGCAACATTCAAAGTAAATACGGCACAATTAAACAGGAAGTAACACTTTCAAATTTTGTTAGATAGTGTGATAGACATTCCATCAGGATGGTACTCTTAAAATATATTCCCTGTGGGTGTCTTAATTTTTAAAAAAAATACCAACATTCACCTTCTTCCTTTTCTTTTTACTTTCCAGGTCTTTGTACCTAACCTTTGACGAATATGTGACAGTCGAGGGGATCCCAGCCTATCGGTTTGTGCCTCCCGTGAGACTCTTTGCCAATGTCTCCACTAATCCCGACAATGCTGGGTTTTGTGTACCAGCAGGAAACTGCTTAGGAGCAGGGCTTCTGAATGTCACCGCCTGCAAGCAAGGTATGGGAGCCACAGTGCAAGTTCGGGCACTTCTTGACATCAAGGCTGCCTTAATTTCTCTTTGTCTGCATCATAATGCAATGCATTATTTTCCAGATTTGCCATCTGCTTATTTCCTGTTTCTGACATCTTGAACATCCCTAGTGGTAGTAGAGAACTTCTGTGACAACCTAGGCAATGGAAAATCCCCTCTGAACAAATTCTGCCAAGAACGCACCATGATAGGTCAGAAACATCTTGAAGGCACACAACAATTACAACTCTTCATGTAGGGGCTAAAAATAATAGCCTCCGTGTATTTCTCATGTAACCTCCCCTCCAATCAGATTGGGGCAGGACATAATTGTGTTTACAGAAAGAAACTGAATTCAGAATACTGTGCATTTATGTAGTCCCTCACTTAAAGCTTCTGATAAAGACATTTGAATGGGGTTCTGAATAAAATGAATTATCTAGACCCATTTCAATTTGGCTTCAGGCCTGTTTGTGAGACAGATATAGCTTTGGTCACTTTGGTGGGTAATCTATGCTGGAAGCTAGACAGAGTAAGGTCTCCTGGACCAGCAACATTTGATACCATTCCCAAGGTATTCAAGAGTGGAAGAGAGAGGGGGCCAGAAGACAGTTCCATCTTGTCTCCTGTGCTTTACTAATAATATGTTATTATATAAAATAAAACATAACATAATATATTGTATAAACATATATTTATAATATTATAATGTAATACCATATAATACTACCAATAATAATGCAATATTATAATTATATATTTTATATTACATGCAATATTACTAATATTACAATATAATGGTATAGTACAATATAGTAATATATAATACTGATATTGTACTATGCTAATGATATAATATATAGTATGTATTTATATCTTGTAAGCCACTCTGAGTCCCCTTCGAGGTGAGAAGGGCAGCATATAAATGTCATAAATAAATAAAAATAAATAAATTCTTCTGGGTCACCTTGTTGGGATGGGACTTGAGAGCACTATTTTACATGGGCTTAATTTCTTTTGGGGGGATGAACCTGGAAGGTGGTGATGGGGGCCTCCTGATTGACCCCTTGACCATTGGCCTATATTGGTTCCTCGGAATCCCATTCTATCCCCAATGCTATTTAACATATACATGAAACCAAGGTATTCTTGGAGTCCTCGTAGACAACATGAGCCAACAATGTCATGCGGTTGCAAAAAAGAAAAGCCAATGGGATTTTGGCCTGCATAAATAGGAGCATAGTGTCTAGATCCAGGGAAGGCATGCTCCCCCTCTATTCTGGGATTGTTCAGACTCAGACTCCATTTTAGAAGTCAGTGTTTGCATCAGAAGCAATACAGTACAGCTTAGAAGTCAGTAGAAACTGAATGCTTTAGATAAGAGACTATTAGACTCTCAGACCCGAGAGATGCTTTAAACTATGGACTTGATTATAAGAAAGATGCCTTATTAGTTATCTGCACAGAGAAACTACTTCAAATCCTATCTGTAACTGGATTAATATATAAAGTACCTATATGCTGAATACATGAAGTTTGTGAGAAAATCAGCTATGGTACTTTTCAAGAAGACTACCTGTTTTTTGTCTCTTCAACCAAGATGTTTCAAGGGAGAGTAGATATGTTTTTGGGCAACTGAAAAGAACACTTCTGAAACTATATATACTTCAACCAGAGAAGTCAGACATAGCAGAGCACCTGATGAACCAACCTGGGCACAGCATATTATTTGAGAACACAGAAATGCTGGACCACTCTCACAACCACCATGTCAGACTACATGGAGAAGCCATTGAAATACACAAGCATGTAGACAATTTCAACAGAAAGGAGGAAACCATGAAAATGAACAAAATCTGGCTACCAGTATTAAAAAAAACTCTAAAATTACAACAGCAAAACAACAGAGTAAACAATCAGGCACATCAAATCACTTCTGAACAAAAGATTGCCCCAGGCACTGCAAGGCCATCAAATGCTAATCAAGGTGGTCAGTTGAAACATTCACACTAGCTCCAACAGACAAGAGTTCTTTGCCCCACCCCGGTCATTCCACAGATATATAAACCCACTTTCCTAGTTCCAATAGATCTCACTACCTTTGAGGATGCGTGCCACAGATGCAGGCAAAACGTCAGGAGAAAATGCCTCTAGAACATGGTCAAATAGCCCTAAAAAACCTACAACAACCCAGTGATTCCGGCCATGAAAGCCTTCGACAATAAATATTTCTCTGTTTATTATGTATAGAAGGTATTTTTTAAAAATTAACTTTGGTCATACGCATTTTCCTTTGTTCCTCATGATTTAAAGAAGTTGTTGCTATCGTTGCAGGAGCACCAATATTTTTGTCACCGCCTCATTTTTATCTGTCGGATGAGAAGTATGCTAATGCCGTTGATGGCATGCATCCAAATAAGGAGAACCATGAGATATTTCTGGACATTAATCCTGTAAGTTGTCATGGTTGTGCCTCATGCCACCAGTTTGATTGGTCCTAGAGTCCTTGTCAGCATTATGGGAAAATATCAACAGCTTTCTAATGGCAGAACTCATATTTAATATACCCTGCTAGATAGTTGCACTTAAGACTGGGGGAGGAAACTTCCCTGTTAGCAGTATGCCAAGCAATTCCACTTCCTTACTTTTATACTGTCTTGTGTGGCCTTGAGGATTCATTTTCTACTACTTACAGCCCACTGGACCTCTTCTTAAGCCACAGGAACTGGGAGTATTGAATTTAGGACAGTCTGGATTAAATGCATTCCTTATGAGCAATGCATTTCATTGCTCCTAAATAATTAAATAGGACCCCAGTTCTTCCAATTATTCAGAAATGTGTTGTGCAAAAAACTGTAACACTTCCTGTTTTATACATTTCCTATTCCTTTAATTATCGCCAAAACATCAGCAGTAATTTGTGTCAGTTTGCAATCCAGAATTTTGCAGAAACTTGGAATTGTAGCCAATTGCATCTCAGAAAGTTAGTATAGCTCTGTGGAGTGTTGTGTGGTTTCCGGGATGAATGGTCGTGTTCCAGCAGCATTTTCTCCTGACATTTCGCCTGTATCTGTAGCTGGCATCTTTAAATGATCTCAGATGCAGCCAAAAAATGCTGTTAGAACATGACCATACAGCCAACCACATTTACTTACTTACTTACTTACTTACTTACTTAGGCAATCCCTCGTAGTCCGAGGACGATGGTCCTCCAAGTTCGGTGTCCTGGCGGTGGGTCCGTAGGTGACTGTGGAGCCCTATTCTTGATCTGCATCTTCTTCCACAGTGAGGGCATTGGCTTCCAGGTGGAAGGCAGTCTTGGTCGGGGTTAGCTTGACGCGCCTTCCTCTTGACACGTTTCTCTCTTTCACCCTCCATTCGTGCCTCTTCAAATTCTGCAGCACTGCTGGTCACAGCTGACCTCCAGCTGGAGTGCTCAAGGGCCAGGGCTTCCCAGTTCCAACCACACAGCACTTCAGTGATTCCGGCCATTAAAGCCTTTGACAATACACCTCTGTGGCCCCTTCTACACTGCCATATAATCCAGTTTATCAAAGCAGATAATCCACATTACCTTCTTTGAACTGGATTATATGAGTCTACACTACCATATAATCCAGTTCAAAATAGATAATCTGGATTTTATATGGCAGTGTAGAAGGGGCCTGTGTTTCCACCACTTAGAACCATTTGGACAGGTACAAATCAGGTGTTCTGGTTTGTCTGTCTGTAACATCCTCCTGTGAACTCCATTCTCTTTTTCCTGTTTCCTCCCCTTATCCATACCTATCTTGGTTCCCCGCTTGTTTGCAACAAGCATAGTTTGCTCTGGCATCTGAATGATGCAAACTATGGTTTGCAATTTCAAACTATGAGCACTGATTTGGCAAAAAGATAATGGTTAATGGAAACCAAAGTTTGCCAGACAAACATCATGGCCCACTATGGTTACTGCAGACAAGGAAGCAAAGATATTTGTCTGACTGTCTCTATCTACCTGGAAACAGGAGTCTGGCAGCTCATACCTGATTGACATGCTGCTTACCTGTATTGAATGTCCTATTAGGAACTTGATGATTCAGAGCTGGAGATGATTCTAGTGCAGATTTGGCTTCAAAAGCAGGGGATTTAGGATGGCTATTATTATTCCTCCCTTGGTTTCTCTCATCCTACAACTTTTTATTCCTCGCTGCTCTGGTAGTCATTGGAAAATCCTGGAAACTCCAGATTCTTCAAAGATTATATTCAACACATCTTTTTGTCCAAAGAGCCAGTACTCATTTCCCCCACTTTTTTGGGTAACCAAAAGTGTAGCTTCTCCTTCTGAATTATCTTGCAAAGTCAGGCCTGATAGTCTTACTTTGCACCCCAGTATTGCAGGAAAAGGATGTAAATGAATCTATCACAAGCATGAGAAAACTTCGGCCCTCCAGGTGTTTTGTACTTCAGATCTCACAATTCCTAACAGCTGGTAAACTGGCTGGGATTGCTGGGAGTTGAAGTCCAGAACACCTGGAGAAGCACAGTTTGAGAACCACTGCTTTATCCAAAATACTTGGGACCAGAAGTTGTTGGGATTTTTTAAATTTTGGAATATTTGTATCTCAAGTCCAAACACAACATTTTTTATGTTTTATATACATACATACATATACACAGACATATAAAAAAGCTTTGGATAGCATGTTGTTGTTCATTCGTTCAGTTGTCTCCGACTCTTCGTGACCTCATGGACCAGCCCACACCAGAGCTCCTTGTCGGCCGTCACCACCCCCAGCTCCTTCAAGGTCAGTCCAGTCACTTCAAGGATGCCATCCATCCATCTTGCCCTTGGTCGGCCCCTCTTCCTTTTACCTTCCACTTTCCCCAGCATAATTGTCTTCTCTAGGCTTTGCTGTCTCCTCATGATGTGGCCAAAGTACTTCAACTTTGTGTCTAGTATCCTTCCCTCCAGTGAGCAGTCGGGCTTTATTTCCTGGAGGATGGACTGGTTGGATCTTCTCGCAGTCCAAGGCACTCTCAGAACTTTCCTCCAACACCACAGTTCAAAAGCATCTATCTTCCTTCGCTCAGCCTTCCAGCTCTCACATCCGTAGGTTACTACAGGGAATACCATGGCTTTGACTATGTGGATCTTTGTTGGATAGCATAGGGAAGTGTTAATACCCCTGTGGTATTTGTTTTTCTTTCTGCGCTCTGATCAGAAGATTTCACCTCACTTTCTGTCCCTGTGATAATTGGATTTTGAAAAAATGGCTGGTTGTGGAAACAAGGATTAGCTATAAAGCTTCAGTTGCAACACCTTTTCCCCTTGATAATAACTCTTTCAGGCATGAATTTCCCTTTTGAGGTGTAGATTTCTCTCACTTCCTGTTGCCTCACCCTCGTTCTTAACTATGAGTTGTTTGTACGTTGGATTTTTGTAACTTGGAGACTGCCTATACTTTCTATTTGAGCACAACAAACTTAACTTTAAGATTGTTTCTGAAAAGTGTAAACCAAACTTATTTTATCTCACAGTTCTCAGGAGTACTAGTCCGAGCAGCCAAGCGAATGCAAGTCAACGTTCACATTCAAAAGCTACCAGATTTTCTGTAAGTATTTTGTGAGGAATTATTATTATTATTATTATTATTATTATTATTATTATTATTATTTGAAACACCACAAGATGAGTCCACAGCAGACACTCTGCTGGCTGTTGTATTGGATCACACTTCCCAAGTGTCTAGGACTGTGTTATGTATCGCCGAATAATGCAGGCAGATCCCAGTAAGGTGGCCTTCTCCAACTGGCAGATGGTAATATTATTATTATTATTATTATTATTATTATTATTATTATTATTTGAAACACAACAAGATGAGTCCACGGCAGACACTCTGCTGGCTGTTGAATTGGATCACACGTTGGACACTTCCCAAGTGTCTAGGGCTGTGTTATGTATCGCCGAATAATGCAGGCAGATCCCAGTAAGGTGGCCTTCTGCAACTGGCAGATGGTAATATTATTATTATTATTATTATTATTTGAAACACAACAAGATGAGTCCACGGCAGACACTCTGCTGGCTATTGTATTGGATCACACGTCGGACACATCCCAAGTGTCTAGGACTGTGTGATGTATTGCCGAATAATGCGTGCAGGTCCCAGTAAGGTGGCCTTTTGCAGCTGGCAGATGGTAATCTTGTCAGCGCCAATTGTGTTTAAGTGCAGGCCAAGGTCTTTAGGCACTTCACCCAGTGTGCCGATCACCACTGGGACCACGTTTACTGGTTTGTGCCTTATTATTATTATTATTATTATTATTATTATTATTATTATTATCATTTGTTCCTGTTTTGAAAAGTAGATACAGCAGGACCTTTGTATTAGCTCCATGTTATTAAATATCAGCAATGTGAACACACATACATATAATCACAGCAGCGGTGTCTATTTACATACACATCAGTCAGAAACAGGAGCCCCCAGTGGTGCAATGGGTTAAACCCTTGTCCCAGCAGGACTGCTGACTGAAAGGTTGGTGGTTTGAATCTGGGAGCAGGGTGAGCTCCCGTCTGTTAGCTCCAGCTCCCCATGCAGGAACATGACAGAAGTCTCCTACAGGATGGTAAAACGTCAAACATCTGGGCGTCCCCTGATCAACTTCCTTGCACATGGCCAATTCTCTCACACCAGAAGTGACTTACAGTTTCTCAAGTCGCTCCTGACAGGAAAAAAAAGTCAGAAACAGACCCAACCCAGCTGTTCAAAGTGCTCCAAACCACAACAAATGCTGAAGTGTCCCCTGACTTTGCCTAAAGCAGGGCAAAGTCAGATTAAAAACCAAAAAATGAGATGCTTACCAAAAGTTTCTGTGTATCTTGAACATTTCCAAATGCAGTCTCATTGAGTCCAGAGCTTTTGGCCAATGTTCACAAGCCCAAATACACTTTTACTGTACTGTGTATTACATTGGTCAAGACACATTTTGGTGCCTCAAATGTTTGCCCTGGTTCCAGTTATATTTGACCTACTGATTCAAAGAAATTACACCAGTTTCCTCTTATCAACACTAGTTTTTGGCATACAGATCATATGCCATCTACCAGCTCCAGTCTGCTTGCCCATAGAAAGTCATGATGTCTAACGAACGAAAGTGAATGCAGTCCATCCAATGCAATTTTCTGAATCAGCACCTTAAATAACCCCCAAAACAACCTAAAAAGCCAAGACACAAAGAATATATATTTTTGATTGGGCTGTATTGATATCTGTGTGTCTCCTTTTCTCAGCTGAAACATGTCTGATACTAATTGCTATTGTATTTTCAATTATTTTTTGTCTGTTTTATGTTGGAAGCTGCGTAGAGAACAGCATTATAGGATGGCTTATATAAATATAGTAAATATTTATTTGCTGGTGAAATTTCACCAACTTGTACAAACTTGTTGCAAGATTTCATTCTGTCTTAACTACTTTTTCATTTTTCCTTTAGCCAAACGGGCAATATCAGAACTCTGTTTTTCCCTGTGCTGTATATAAATGAGGTGAGCCCTTGTAAAAGACATTCCTAGCATGTGTAGAATGGTCAGTTTATACAGTTCTGTTGAGTGTACAGACCTCTGTGCACATACATTATCTTAGGCCGGGTAATCCTTGCAATAATCCTGACAGTATTATTGCATATATATGGCACAGCTCAGCTTCACGGAGCATGGAAGGCATGCCTAAGCCAATCTAGAGAGTTCAGGACAGTGGAAGGATTTGAACACAGGTCTTGCTGGTTTATAGCTGATTTATAGCGCATAGAGATTAAAGCTGGTGCTTTGTTTCTAAAGTGTTTCTAAAGTTCTGGTGGTGAAAATTTCAGAACTCTGACAAAACTTTCAAAATTTCATTATTATTTCGTTATTGGCGATTTTTATGACAGAGCCAATTAGGAACTGCCATTTATAATGAAATTTTGAAAGTTTTGTTAAAGTTCTGAAACTTTCACCATGGGAATTTTAGAAACACTTTAAAAGCAAAGTACCAGCGCCCCCTACTTTTGTAAGTACTGTATATATTCGAGTATAAGCCTAGTTTTTCATTCCCTTTTTTAGGCTGAAAAAGCTCCCTTCGGCTAATACTCGAGTCAAGGTTATTTATTATTTTACTCTGTTATAAGTATTATTTTTATTACATTTATTATCTTACTCTATTATAACATTTACATTATTTTACTCTATTATTATTTGATTAAATTTATTATTTTACTCTATATATTACTGTTTTGATTACATTTATTATTTTATTCTATTTATTATTATTATTATTACATTTACATTATTTTATTCAGTTATTTTTATCACATTTATTATTTTGCTCTCTTTATTATTATTGGAAGGATATGTAAGCACATTTACACTGAAGAAGGTTAAAATAATGGTTTAATCAGAGTTTACAGTCTTATGTTAAATTACAGCTTTATGTAAATATTCGAAAACATTTATCCTACTAATTTTATTGGTATCTTATTTTTATTTTGAAATTTACCAGTAGCGGCTGCATTTCCCACCCTCGGCTTATACTCGAGTCAATACATTTTCCCAGTTTTTTTGTGGTAAAATTAGGTACCTCGGCTTATATTCGGGTCAGCTTATACTTGAGTATATACGGTACTTTAGAACCATTTAGAACCATGGATTGCCCATGCCTATTAGAGATCTCTAGAAAGATCATGTTAACCACCAAAACCATGAATAATCAAATCCTCAAAAGTCAATTCTACAAATATCAAGGGCTGACTGTATAATTCGGTTGTTGTGAGTTTTCTGGGCTGTAAGGCTATGTTCCAGAAGCATTCTCTCCTGGCGTTTCACCTGCATCTATGGCAGGCATCTTCAGAGATTGTGAGGTCTGTTGGAAATTAGACAAGTGGGGTTTATATGTGGAATGTCCACCTATAAATCTCTTTTCAGATTGAGGCAAATGTGAATGTTGCAATTGGCCACTTTGATAAACACTGAATGGCCTTGCAGCTTCAAAGCCTAGCTGCTTCCCTCCTGGGGGAATCCTTTGTTGGTAGCAAGCAGCCAGGCTTTGAAGCTGCAAGGCCATTCAATGCTAATCAAGGTGGCCAATTGCAACATTCACACTTGCTTCAAACAGACAAGAGTTCTTTCTCCCACCCTGGACATTCCACAGATAGATAAACCTCACTTGCCTAGTTTCCAACAGACCTCACAACCTCTGAGGATGCCTGCCATAGATGTGGGTGAAATGTCAGGAGAGAATGCTTCTGGAACATGGCCAGACAGCCCGGAAAACTCACAGCAACCCAGTGATTCCGGCCATGAAAGCCTTCAACAACACATTGACTGTATAATTGCTTTGTTAAGAATATAAGCACCGGGATTGTGGTGCAGCTGGCTGAGTGTCAGCTGCATTAAGATCACTCTAACCAAAAGGTCATGAGTTTGAAGCTAGCCCGGGTCGGAGTGAGTGTCCGACCATTTGTGTAGCTTGTTGTCGACCTTTGCAACCCGAAAGACAGTTGCATCTGTCAAGTAGGAAAATTAAGTACCACCTATGTGTGGGGAGGCTAATTTAACTAATTTATGAGGTCATAAAAAAGAGACTCCAGCATAAAGCACTCCAGCAAAGCATGCGGGGAATGCGGAAGTACTTCATCAGTGTCGCAGATGGATGATGAAAGCAACAGCTCCCCTGGTGGCCAGAAAAAGTTAAATAGCCTCTGTGTATGTCTGTATACGTTGTATGTCTAATTGGCATTGAATGTTTGCCATATATGTGTACATTGTAATCTGCCCTGAGTCCCCTGCGGGGTGAGAAGGGCGGAATATAAATGCTGTAAATAAATAAATAAATAAATAATATTACTGCTACTATATTCTCATTAATAATATTCCTGTGTGTGGTGCTATAGAAGGGAAATGTGTTGAACTAATGCACCCATCCGCATAGGAATTTCCATGTAATATGGAACACATTATAGATGTGTTAAGTGCAAATATGTTGGAGCAAAGGATAGATTATGTTTAAATTGGAACCCATGTTCAGAAGGATTGAGGAACATTTCCTTGCATCAGAGTGAAACTGTGTCCCTTTTCCTCCTTCAGAGTGTTGTGCTAGACAGAGCGTCTGCAGCAAAACTAAGGGCTGCTCTCTTTGAATCTTCTGTGGTCACCAACATCCCTTTTATCATCATGGTCCTAGGAGTCGTTTTCGGAGTTGTGTTTGTTGTGCTTGCCTGCAAGCCATCACAAGCCAGAGAAGAGGTAACGTAGCATTTGGAGATAATGCTCGTCTTTTTTAATAATTATTTTAATTTTTGGTACCTTATTTCCTTTAAAAAAAACTGTCCTTTGAGTTTTCCCCTTTTTTGTTAGTCTCATTGGTTGTTTTGTTTTTTTTTTAATTACTGTTACCGGAACGCTTTTGTGTTTTGTTTTACTCCTTTCCTGTTTCTTTCTTTTTCTCTTCTCGGAAATGCTCGTTCTAGGGCAGAGAGGTATTAGTAGAACCAGAGTAAGTACGCTTCAGCAAAGTGCTGCTGCTGGCTTAAGACACATGGTAAGATGGCTCAAAGTTTCTCTCTTTGCTGATTTTTTTTTTAATCTTTACAGATCTTTAGTGAAAGTATGGCTAGATAATGCTGAAGTCTTAAGGCTATACAACATATGCTATTTATTTATTATTTATTTATTTCAAACATTTTTACCCCGCCCTTCTCAACCCCTGGGGGGACTCAGGGCAGCTTACAATTGGCAACAATTCAATGCCGCTTCATAAAATACAAATAGCAAAAATAACAATTAAAACCATGAACATTAAAATAAAAAATTAAACAGTATACTTACGATCCATTTAGCTTTTGCCAGTCTATATGGCTATTTTTCTAGCCATATACTAATGATTACTCCACTTCACTTATCCAAATCCACTTCCGAGCCATAGTCAAATATTACCCATTGTCCTTTAACCTGATTGCCCGAAGGCCTGGTCCCACAACCACGATTTTACCTTCTTTCTGAAGGTGAGGAGGGATGACGAATTATCTAATTTCTCTGGGAAGCGTATTCCACAGGTGGGGGGCTACCACCGAGAAGGCCCTGTCCCTCATCCCCACCAAACGTGTTTGAGACAACAGCGGGGCCGAGAGCAGGGCCTCCCCATAGGATCTTAAGCTCCGAAGTGGGACGTAGAAGGAGATACGTTAGCAATGGGTTAAGCCCTTGTGCTGGTAGGACTGCTGACTGATAGATCAGCGATTTAAATCTGGGGAGTGTGTTGAGCTCCCTCTGTCAGCTCTAGCTCCTCATGTGGGGACATGAGAGAAGCCTCCCACAAGGATGATAAAACATCAAACATCCAGGCATTCTCTGGGCAATGTCCTTGCAGTTGGCTAATTCTCTCACATCAGAAGCAACTTGCAGTTTATCAAGTCGCTCCTGACATTAAAAAAACACCCACATATATTGGCAGTGAAGATTTGCATGAATGAACAATCCACTACTTATTTATCATCCTAGGTGGATATGAAAAAAAATCCCAGAATCTGTTCAAAGAGTTTGGTTTTTCAGTGGGTCTCATTCCAAATGCCAGCAAGCATGACTTGGGTCTCGGAAGCATCCTTAAGACTTAAAATCGCCCTCCTTGTGCTTAGGTTGCAGCTCTCTTAGGCTTTAGCTATCTCTATTCTTTTAGGGCTTTAACTTTCCATTGTTCATTGCTTAGATCAGTGGTTCTCAACCTGTGGGTCACCAGGTGTTTTGGCTACAACTCCCAGAAATCCCAGCCAATTTACCAGCTGGTAGGATTTCTAGGAGTTGAAGGCCAAAACATCTGGAGACCCACAGGTTGAGAAGCACTGACTTCAATCAAGGGTGGACACCTGTAGAAGGGGAAGGGCTGCAGTTAGCTTCCCAGGAGACCTTCGAAAGTGTTCATCACCTGTACATTTTGTTAAATTAGTCAGCCATTTTTGCCATATTTTAAAACCACTAGGCTAATTTAATCTACTGGTCAAAGGACGTTTAATAGAATGCCAAGTTTGCAAACTTCGTGTTTTGTTGTTGTTTTTTAAAAATACAATACAACTGTTTGGTTTGTTCCTGATACGATAAATAAATAGATCTAAGAAAAGGTGTTTTCTGACAACAGAAGATGAATGGAAGTCACATCCTGATCACTTCCTTCTGCAGATTCCATTGGCCCTGGAGATATCCCAAGGCTTTGTCAAAATGTATTCCATGTCAATTAGAGGACACTTGGAGGAGTTTTGCAGCCTTTTTTAAAAATTATTATTATTATTGTTGTTGTTATTATTATTATTTGGCTCCTGCCAATTCCTGAAGACCATAAACTTGTTCTAGACCACAATTTGGTGGGTTGGATGAATAAATTTGGAAATCATGGGCCAACTACAGCAGTGCCCCAAATTGATCTGGCAACCAATCTGAATGCAAATTATTATTTTCAGTACAGAACTTGCCATCTTTGAAGAGATAATCCTTTAGGAGTCCATGACAGTGAGCAAGTAAAGAGGCATTTTTCTAAATAAAACGATACCTCTTGTGACATAGTCATTCCTTCCCTAAAAGACACATCCCTCCCTTTAGTGCAGCATTTCTCAACCTGAGGGGTCACAAGGAGGGTGTCAAAGACCATCAGAAAACACAATATTTTCTGTTGGTCATAAGGGTTCTGTGTGGGTAATTTAGCCCAATTCTATCATTGGTGGGGTTCAGAATGCTCTTTGATTGTATGTGAACTATAAAACACAGCAACTACAATTCCCAAATGTCAAGGTCTATTTTCCCCAAACTCCAGCAGTGTTCACATTTGGGCATATTAAGTATTCGTGCCAAGTTTGGTCCAGATCCATCTTGTTTGAGTCCACAGTGTTCTCTGGATGTAGGTGAACTACAATTCCAAAACTCAAGGTCAATGCCCACCAAACCCTTCCAGTATTTTCTGTTGGTTATGGGAGTATTTTCTGTTGGTTAAATTCCATCGTTGGTGGTGTTCACAATGCTCTTTGATTGTAGGTGAACTATAAATCCCAGCAACTACAACTCCCAAATGACAAAATCAATCCCCAGTACTCAAATTTGGGTGTATCGAGTTTTGGTGCCAGATTTGGTCCAGTGAATGAAAATATATCCTGCATATCAGATGTTTTCATTACGATTCATAAGAGTAGCAAAATTACAGTTGTGAAGTCGCAACAAAAATAATATTTTTATTTATTAAACATTCAGAATGGTATTAAGGAGTCATGGAATTAGGAAGGTTGAGAACAACTGCTTTAGTGGCTTCCTCTGGAGCTGATTTCATTAATTGGCTGAAAGTCACATGGTTGCACATCTAGACATCTGTAAACCAATAATATAACCTTAATTACTACTTCCATTACTTGATATTTTTCACCACTCTTCTTTAAAGAAGCTTGGGATTACATTGTTGGAGTTAGACCAGGATTACACATTGGCTTGGGAGGGAAAAGTAGGACTTCCGAGTCCAAGACGAACACTTAACTAGCTAGGAGCAAACCTTAAGGCAGTGTTTCTTAAACTCTGCTCCTCCAGGTGTTTTGGACTTTAGCTCCTGGAAATCCCAGATAGCTTATTAGTGGTTAGGAATTATGGGAACTGAAGTCAAAAACATCTGGAGAAGCAGAGTTTGAGAAACAGTGCCATAGGGAAATATCAGTGTGTTCTGGGAGGTCTGACTTCGCCCAGCTTGTTGCTGATACTTATGTATGCTTCATTTCCCCAAAATGTTCTTGTTGCTATAAGAGTAGGCACACATTTGTGCTTGTTGATCGTCATCCTGCTTATGCTTAGGCCCTTTGTTGAAGTGGTTTTGGTCAAAACTAATTTTGGGCCAACAAAGTGAAGTAACACCAAGCCAGGATAATCTTTGACTGCTCAGCAGTTAGTTTTTTTGTTGGAAGAGAATTGCTTCATTCTCATATCACTTCTCCTTGATGGTTTTCTCCTTCAAAATAGTGCATTTATGTTTGGATTGAAATTGTGCATTGATCTAGCTAGGCTCAGTCTTTTTAGTCATTGGTTGGGGGGGGGGTCTTTATTTATCGTTCTTCTTTATTTCAATGAACAATATGTATTGGCTTTTTAATAAAAACAGCTCATTATCATCAGGACCAGGAGGTAAGTTGTAACAATGCTCATTATAGAAAATGGGAACTGAAGTTGATAGACATGTCCAAGGCCTACCCTGACCGAGATGGACCCCAAAATGTGATGTGCATCCCACATCATCAGACATAAGTATGACAGCGGAGCTCTGTTGTCTTCGCTGTGTCTGCTCTCTGTGTATATTGTCTGCAGGTCGTCTGTTGATTTATGGCAACCGCATGAATTTCATAGGGTCTTCTTAGGCAATGAACACTCAGAGGTGGTTTTGTCAGTTCAGATACTGTAGACATAGTCAAAGGTAAAGGTTTTCCTCTGACATTATCTAATCATGTTCGAGTCTGGGGGTTGGTGTTCATCTCCATTTCTAAGCCAAAGAGCTGGCATTGTCCATAGACACCTCCAAAGTCGTGTGGCCGGCATGACTGCATGGAGCGCCTTTACCTTCCCGTTGGAGCGGTACCTATTGATCTACTCACATTTGCATGCTTTCAAACTGCTAAGGTTGGCTGGGGCTAACAGTGGGAGTTCACTATGCTCCCCAGATTCAAACCACTGACCTTTTGGTCAGCAAGTTCAGCAGCTTAGCGGTTTAACCCGCTGCTCCACTGGGGGCTCCTAGATATAGCCTACAGCACCTGATATTCCTTTACAGTCTCCCAATCAAGTACTAACTGTGTCTGACTCTGTTTAGTTCTCAAAATCAGATGGACCCCAGAGCTTTTAGGGTTTAGGTCTATGCCCAGACAACATTCCATTATAACTGTTTTTAGATGGTGTCGTTGGAGCATTGGGAACTTAATCTGCAGCATGCTTTTAGTCGTGGGTTGCATGAAGAACAGGCAGTTGGAGAGACCCTTCAGGGTCCTGCCACAGTTGCTTCTCACAGCATGCCCTAGCTAAATCAGATAATGTTATCTATCCATGATGTTTTTGGGGTAGATGACTGACAGAAGAAGCAAAATCAAGCACAAAAGGAAGACAAAAGAGCCTAGTCCTTCTCTTTCTAAGCCAGTGGTTCTCAATCTGTGGGTCCCCAGGTGTTTTGGCCTACAACTCTCAGAAATCCTAGCCAGTTTACTAACTGTTAGGATTTCTGGGAGTTGAGGGCCAAAACATCTGGGGACCCACAGGTTGAGAACCACTGGTCTAAGCCATCTCATCCCTAGGAGCCAGACTGTTTCTTCAACCACTTAGGAACAGTAAACATGAAACCCAAAATATCATTCGTCTGGCTTATAGACTTATAGCTACTGAACAGGATGCCAATCACTCTTATTATTTACATGATTTTTCTTTATTTCAAATTTCTCTATTTTTATGGCAAATATAACAACAACAACAACAACAACAACAACTTTATTTCTATCCCGCCCTATCTCTCCAATGGGGATTTAGGGCAGTTCACAACACACAGTGGCAAACATTTAATGCCATGAAGTGCAACAAAAAAAATCAAATAAACAAACAATAAATCAAATAATAACATATTAGACATTAACACCAGACAGTAGTGGTACAATACAACAAATTGGGCATCACACAACTAAAAATTCAACGTTTTTGGAAACACTAACTAAGCACACCACATCCGTAAAAATCTAACATGTGAGAAAGATAGGCTAATAGCCTGTTCCTAGGATGCTACTTTTCCACATGAAGGGTCATGTAGATACTCACACCATTCAGATAAGTTTGAAATGTCTATCATTTGGAATGCCCTCGGATACATAGTTGGTTGTAATGTGTCTTCAAGTCAGTTCCAACTGATGGTGATCCTATTGCAGGATTTCCTTCCCAAGTTTTATTCAGAGGAAGCTTGCCTTGCTTTCCTCTGGTGCTGAGAGTGTGACTTGTGCAAGATTTTCATGCTGATCAGGGATTTAAACCCTTGCCTCTCGAGCCCCATCTACACTGCCATATAAAATCCAGATTATCTGTTCTGGATTATATTAATCTTCTACACTGCCATATAATTCGGTTCGAATCAGATAATCTGGATTTTCATATGTCAGTGTAGATGGGACCTCAGAATCCTAGCCCATCACTCACCATCATTACACCACACCATAGCTTGTGATTTATCTTCGCATGTAGATCAGTTTCCATCAAGAAACACAACTGTTGATGGGACATGTCAGTAAGATTTTACTCAAATTACAATCCCATAAATGCCAAATGAACAATTTATACTAGCATTATTTCCCCAAATATATTTCCTCATAGAAAGTGGTTCCCATAAATTCAGTTTCTAAGAACTTTTAGTTAAATTATGTTAATTGTTACAAATCCCCAGCACCTACTTACACAATATCAATTTCCTGAGCCTGAGAAAAAACTTACTAAACCAGTCTAAGTACCAAATCTAATCAGCATATACAGACTCAAGCTGGTAAGGTTTCTTCCTCCACAGAAAACTAGTTCTGTGTGTTTGCAGTTGTTGTGTGTGTCCAAGTTATTTAGGGCTTGTGGCAATCCTAAAATGAATCCTGTTATGGGGTTTTCTCTGCAAGATTTATCCAGAGGTGTTTATCACTGCTCTCATCTGTGGCTGGGAATGTGTGACTTGCCATAGGTTTCCACACCTGAATAGAGATTTGAACCTTATGTTTCCCAATGTCCCAGTACAATACTTAAGTCACCAATCTACAATGGATGCCATTGTTCTCTGAGTAGGGGCTGAAAATAAGATACAGAATGGGGGACACCTGGCTCGACAGCAATACATGTGAAAAAGATCTTGGAGTCCTGGTGGACAACAAGTTAAGCATGAGCCAACAATGTGATGCTGCAGCTAAAAAAGCCAATGTGATTTTGGCCTGCATCAATAGGAGTATAGTGTCTAGTCCCAGGGAAGTCATGCTGCCCCTCTATTCTGTCAGACCACACCTGGAATCACACTGTGTCCAATTCTGGGCACCACAGTTGAAGGGAGATGTTGACTCTAAGCTGGAATGTGTCCAGAGGAGGGTGACTAAAATGATCAAGAGTCTGGAGAACAAGCCCTATGAGGAGCGGCTTAAAGAGCTGGACATGGTTAGCCTACAGAAGAGAAGGCTGAGAGAAGACATGATGAGGGCCATTTATAAATATGTGAGGGGAAGTCCTAGGGAGAAGGGAGCAYGCTTYTTTTCTGCTGTCCTGAAGACTAGGACACGGAACAATGGCTTCAAACTACAGTAAAGGAGATTCCACTTGAACATTAGGAAGAATTTCCTGACTGTGAGATCTGTTCAGCAGTGGAACTCTCTGTCCTGGTGGCTCCTTCTTTGGAGGCTTTTAAGCAGAGGCTGGATGGCCATCTGTCAGGGGTGCTTTGAATATGGTTTTCCTGCTTCTTGGCAGGGGGTTGGACTGGATGGCCCATGAGYTCTCTTCCAACTCTGATTCTATGATTCTAATAATAATAATAATAATAATAATAATAATAATAATAATAACAACAACACTTTATTTATATTATGCCCTATCTCCCCAAGGGGACTTGGGGCGGATCACAGTACACATACATGGCAAACATTCATTGCCATTTGGACAGGAAAGGACAGAAAAGAGGCATGTTATGTTGTGATGACGTCAGTGCCTTTGGTAGGTTGTGCTCAAAATCCAGCCATGGGAGGATGCTGTCACTCTATCCTCTGTGACGAAGAGCCATCAGGACTTCCTCCTTCCTTTTTGGGTTGCCAGCATTTTCTGGTCTTTTTCTTTTTATTGTTGTTATTCATTCCTTCAGTCGTTTCTGACTCTTCGTGACCAGAGCTCCCTGTCAGCTGTCACCACCCCCAGCTCCTTCAAGGTCAATCCAGTCACTTCAAGGATGCCATGCATCCATCCTGCCCTTGGTCAGCCCCTCTTCCTTTTTCTTTTTATAGTACCATAAAATACCTCCCCTGCTTGTTTTAGTGGTACCTAATTTCTCTAATTACAGCACAAGCTTTTTTCACACTGCTTAGGTCAATTGTAAGCTGGGCTGCATAGTCAGCAGCTCATGCCGACCTAGGGCTTCAAACTAGCAGCCTGACAGTTGGTAGATGCTATCATTGCTGGTGATTTTACCAGCTGTGCTAAACCCGAGCCCAACATCTTCACTAAACTTACAAGTCCAAAAAGCTTTTGAGGCTGAGGAAGACTTGAGAGTTATATTGGTGCACAAGTGATAAAGAACTAAATCCAGCGCTAGTCCTATATAGAGTAACTTAGTCACAAATCGTAAATCTCATCCTATGTTAGATAGGCTGAATTTTGGAGTTATCTCAAAAATGTATGGTAAAGGTACAGGGTGTAAAATATTTGTCAGTCAGCACTGATTGACATGCTGGTAATGATCAATATAACTTTTTTTCTGGAGGGCAAATTGTATTTTTGTTCTATCTTGATATGTCATGCATACTATCATATTATGTTAGCTTAAGTTATTTTAATTTTAATTTCAGGGTTCCGTAGATGAGAGAGCACCACTGATCCGGACATCATGACTCCATTTTCTCACCAATACAACTTACGGAAATGAGCAGAGTGGTAACTGAACTATGCAAACTGCTCTTAATGGAAGACACTAGCCAGCAATCTCAACTGCCCCCCAATCACACTACTACAGTTGTATTAACATTCTTCTCTTTTTCTTTTTTGGGGAAGAGGGAGTAGAAATCAGGAACTGAGTTCGTAAACCTGGACTGTTACATTGAATATAGAAACTGCAAGGTTTTTTAAGACTGTTTAAAAACGAGTTGTCACTGTCTTCCACAAGTACAAAAAGCAGTATTTTAAAGCATTTCTTGCACTGTTGTGGTCCCATAAACCCCTGTGGGATGATAACCATTCTAATGATTGCGGCTTGTCTGTTTTCTATTTGCTAATATCATATCCTGTAGGGTCTTATCCAGTTATCATTTTTTAATAATCACGATCACTACATACAGCCTTGTCCTTCTGTAAAATGATTTCTCATTGGACACTGTGTTGCTGATATCATAGAGATTTTGCTTTCCTCCTTGTGTAAATTGTCACAGTAGAAAGTAAGTAAAACGAAAGTAATGCAGACTTCTTACAGTAATTATTTACTGGATGCAAATCACTGTATATAAGGAGTGGCAGATTTTTTTTTACTAGCTCAGTTTAGGCATTCATTTTGCAAAACTGTTGTCAAAATTTGATGTATAGCTATCAAATTGACTTGTCTAATGGCTATCCTAGAATGATTTGATTTACTGGATGGAATTTGGAATTATCTCTAAAATGGGTTGCTGTGAGTTTTCTGGGCTGTATGGCCATGTTCCTGAAGCATTTTCTCCTGACGTTTCATCTACATCTGTGGCAGGCATCCTCAGAGGTTGTGAGGTCACAAAACAAAACCTCACAGCCTCTAAGGATGCCAGCCATAGATGCAGGTGAAACGTCAGAAGAGAATGCTTCTTGAACAAGGCCAATACAGCCTGGAAAAGTCACAGCAACCCATTGATTCTGGCCATGAAAGCTCAACCTCTAAGGATGCCTGCCATAGATGCAGGCAAAACATCAGGAGAGAATGCTTCTGGAACATGGACATACAGCCCGGAAAACTCACAACAACCCATTGATTCTGGCCATGAAAGCCTTTGACAATATAATTCTCTATGAAGTTATATATAAAAGTGTTTCAAGACAGAACTGGCTGCACAACTTATAGATATCTGTTCCTGCGCGATGTGTTAAAAGGAAAAATAAATCCAGTTCAATCACTTCCTTTGAGCAAGCTGCTTAGATTTGCCAGTTTAAGTAACAATATCCTATGTTGCACATCCATGGAAAACATTGGCTGTCAGGTTCTGAGCTGTTTGAGAAGGAACACAATGGAAACACATTGAAATGGCAAAATAATAAAGAGTATTATGGTTGCATAAGCTTCCCAGGGTTTGAACCAGCCGAACAGTATTAGACAAGTTCCAACACTAACACCCCACCCCCAAAAAATTCATAATGGCTTTAGCAATTGCAATTTGGCAATTCTATTGCTGTAGAGCAGGCATGAGCAAACTTTGTCCCTCCAGGTGTTTTGGACTTCAACTCCCACAATTCGGGAGTTGAAGTCCAAAACACCTGAAGGGACAAAGTTTGCCCATGCCTGCTCTACATTAAGCCAACCCAACAGCTAGGAGAGGCCACGGAGACCCTCTGTTATCATTTACCTGTGTCTCCTTTGACATATATGGCTATTATTGTCTAAACAGTGGAAGCCAGAAGCGTTCCGAGAGATCTCCCACGTTCTTTTCTTATTGCATGTGTATCAAGTGCAGTATTAGCTGAAACCTCACTGAGTGTGTTCACCAAATCCCCCCTTCCTGATTTTTCCTCTCCTCCTTTTCCTTCTCATAGCAGTAAAGTAATTACTAGTCTTGCTGGCAATGTAAACATTTCCCCCTCTGTTTTGGAGCGCAGTAGAGTCTTGCTTATCCAACATAAATGGGCCGGCAGAACATTGGATAAGCTAAAATGTTGGATAATAAGGAGGGATTAAGGAAAAGCCTATTAGACGACAAATTATGTTATGATTTTACAAATTAAGCACCAAAACATCATGTTTTACAACAAAACTACAGAAAAAGCAGCTCAATACACGATAATGTTATGTAGTAATTACAGTATTTACGAATTTAGCACCAAAACATTGCAATGTATTGAAACAGCTGTGAATTTGGGCAGGAGGCAGACTGTGTTGGATAATACAGAACGTTGGATGAGCGAAGGTTGGATAAGCGAGACTCTGCTGTATGTGTCAAAATCACATGGCTTTTTTATTCAAAATATATTTACAAATGATTGCCGCTTGTTGTTAATTCCCATTAGTCTAGCCCAAGAGCCATTGAACCAACTGTAAGAATCGAGTTGGACCAAAGATCCATCTAATGCACCTTTTCCAATTTCTAGCAGGGTTCATACTGTTTATCTTCTTCTGTTTCTCATTTATCTTCTGTTTCTCAACTGTAAGAATTGAACCAACTGTAAGGATTAGGTTGGACAAAAGATCCATCTAGTGCACCTTTTTTCCATTTCTAGCAGGTTTCATATCATTTTTCTTTTTAGCACAGAGGTTCTGCTTGGATAGCAAATTCAAAACTATGGTATATTAGAGAAAGACCATTATAAGCTTGTAGTTACCATCACAGCAGTGAATTCTATCCATTAGTAATATGTTGAGTTTCTTTTAATGTGTGAGGAATGTATTCTCAATTTACTCCATAGCCAACTGCCAGTCATTTTCATTAGATTATCCCAATCAATCCTCAATCAACAAAATCAATAAGTGAACCCATCTCCAAGCCTGAATCACCCCATGATATGGCTGTACTTGGTCCAGAGTGAAAACTGATGTGTGGCATCTCTGATTTTATTGAATAAACATAAACATTATAATGCCACAGTAACTATATTACAAAATGGAAACTGTATTATTTTCTATTTCTGCAGGTACTAGATAGTGAACAGTTATTAAAACAATGAATTGCAGCATTAGAGCTAATAAATGTGTTTACACAGGTATGATATGGGGGGACACCTTTTAATATAGTTTTATACTTTTAAGAATGCAGACAACCAGATTGCTTTGATTTTGGCTCTTAAGGTGAAATATTTTGGGATAGAGTCCAGAGTGATAGCAAAGGTTTTTAGGTTGCTTCTATCATACGCTGATAAGGAATGAGTGGCTATTTGACAACATCTGGAAAGTTACATGTTTCCCATCCCTGTTACTTAACTTTATTCTAGACTGAGGCACCATGGTTCAACACAGACAGATTTGACATAATGCAATCCCATTTACTTTTCATATAGGAGGGTTTACAGCAGTGTTTCTCAACCTGGGGGTTGGGACCCCTGGGGGGATCATAAGTGGTTGCCAAAGACCATCAGAAAATACAGTATGGTCATGGAGTTTCAGTGTGGGAAGTTTGGCCCAATTCTATCGTTGGCATGGTTCAGAATGCGCTTTGATTGTAGGTGAACTATAAATACCAACAACTACAACTTCCAAATGTCAATTCTCTTTTCCCCAAACTCTCCCGGTGTTCACATTTGGGTATTTTGAATATTCATGCCAAGTTTGGTCCAGATCCATCATTGTTTGAGTCCACAGTGCTCTCTGGAGGTAGGTGAACTAGAACTCCAAAACTCAAGGTCAGTGCCCACCAAACCCTTCCAGTATTTTCTGTTGGTCATGGGAGTTCTGTGTGCCAAGTTTGATTCAATTCCATCTTTGGTGGAGTTCAAAATGCTCTTTGATTGTAGGTTAACTATAAATCCAAGCAACTAAAATTCCCAAATGACAAAATCAACCCCCACCCCACCAGTATTCAAATCTGGGCATATTGGGTATTTGTAACAAATTTGATCCAGTGAATGAAAATTCATCCTGCATATCAGATATTTCTATTACGATTCATAAGAGTAGCAACTTTACAGTTATGAAGCAGCAATGAAAATAAGTTTATGGTTGGGTGTCACCACAATATGAGGAACTGTATTAAGGGGTTGTGGCATTAGAAAGGTTGAGAACCACAGGTTTACAAGAGTTTTTTAAAAACATAATTGGTGACGTTTCAGAAAGGCATTCCTGTCGTTTTCCCCTTGGCACAAGATCATGTACAGCAGAAATGAACAGAAGCTAGAGCAGGATCTATTGTAATTGAACAATGATTTCTAATTTCCACATCCTTTCACAGTAGCAACAACAAACTGATATCTCTTGCTAGATTTTTCAGTGGAAGGGACTTTAGCAAATCCCTGAGCTCAGAACGTGTATGTATGTAGGTGGGGGATTGTATACCTGGCTCTGGGTAGAGAATCTAATGACGTTAGCAAAAAACAAACAAACAATGTGAAATAGATCTGCTTGCACCTAGAATAAATAAATAATGGAACAGACAAGCTGCTTGTGGTGTGCTCTTGACTGGAGAGTTTGCTGAAAAGCCAGAGGGAAGGCTCCATTATCAATTCCCCAAGTGTTAGCCTCTTTCATGTTTCACCAGTACATCTTCCTGTTTTGATTTTGATTGAAAAAACAATCTTATTGGACTACAACTCCCAGAATCTGCAAATCAGTGTGACCAGTAAGCATGATAGATTGGGGGCTCTAGGAGTTTATGCCCACCCAGTTACTCTCCCAAACTCTTTGGGCAAAATTTATAGGGGTTTTTTGCTGGTTTGGTCCAGTTGCACTAACTTGTTTTACCTGCAAACCTATTGTATGCCCTTGTGTGAACGTGGTCAGCAGTGTCCTGTGATTGCACATTGTGGTGGACAAGTTCTTTGGTACAATATAGTGCTTTGTAAACCATTTCACTATATAACCTTTGGTGAGCTGCACTGGATCTGGCAGTTGCATGTCAACTTGCTAGCCTCAAGGTACAATCTGCAAGCCACTTCACTTCAGAATGGGTTAGCCCAGGTATGGGCAAAATTCGGCCCTCCAGGTGTTTTGGACTTCAACTCCCACAATTCCTAACAGCCTCAGGCCCCTTTCTTTAAATGGCTGAGGGGGGAAAGGAAAGGTCCTGGGGCTGTTAGGAATTGTGGGAGTTGAAGTTCAAAACACTTGGAGGGCCGAAGTTTGCCCATGCGTGGGTTAGCCCAATTCTCCTTCACTTCCTTTACTTGCAGTTTCTTTTCAATGTGAGCAGCATGCGTTCTAACACAATAGTGTTTATAAGGTGGCTGTGTTCACTTCTCAAAGAGCTTCAGGTACTAATAATCTGGGTAATCATTACAATAACTCTGAAGGGAGCTAATGTCAGCTTTGTTTTACATGAGGGGAACTTCAGCCTGAGGAATAGCAACTTCCTTAGGACTTGTATTAAGATCAAATTGGTAAATCTGTCATCTTTATACTAAGGTACCCTAAAAACTAACAAATGTATGAAAACATAACATTTTGTGGTCGTGCTATAATAAATTTGTTAGTTTTCCAAGTGTCGCCTGTTTCTGTATTGTTTCTGATGGAACACAAGAGCTGATCTTCATCATTTCCTTAAACAAACAGTAAGATACTCTTTTTTTCCTGAGGTCTGTTTTATGCACGTAGTAGACTAACCAAAAACATGTACAGTCGAACAGCCAGAGAACACTAACACTGCTTGTAAAGAGTCAGTTTGAGGGCATTTTAATGCAAAAAAGGGAAATACTGTACAGTGACAGAAGGCCATAACAGACCAACTATTTAAATTTTTAACTTTCTTTAATTGGAAGAATTATCCTGGGTAAATCAGTCTTCTTTGATGTTACGACTGTGTCCTTTTTTGAGGAGGGGCTTGTAACATTGTGGCTCTTTACTCACCATGTAATATGTAACAAACCAAGTAAGCTTCACTGAACTTTGTCCATGAATGTGGAGTATTCAGAATAAATTGCTTTTTTGTTGTTTCATTGCCTTTCTCTTCATTGTTCACTGGAATCAAAGCAAGTGGTGCATTGGGGAAAAACGTTCTTGCTGTGAAAGTGAAGGAACTACTAAGGTAAGTTGAACCAGTGCAGTGTGGTGTTTTGCATGTTTGACTGTGACTCCGGAGACCGACCAAGGTTCAACCCTTGGTTGAGTCAGTCCCATATCTTCAGCACGAGAAAGATCCTTAAGGTTGTTATAAGCTGGGAGCAACTTGATGGTATGCAACAAAACCTTAGGGGGGTTGTGATAATGTAGTGCTAGATTTCCTGATTGTGGAACTGGCCAAAGATGAGCACAACAAACATGA